CCCTTGCTCACGATCGTACGGGGCTAATTTTCAAAAAAGGGAAACATTATTTAAAATATTATTTAGGTAGTGTTGCCATTTTGTCTGAATTGTAAAATGTACAAATTACCAGATGATTGCGACGTTGTCAAATCGTGTCCTTCTCGTTAGGACTGAATTCGAAAATACCTTGGTGGAAGGGCAGTTGGCTCACAACCACGAGAGATACGTCTTCGGTCTCATAAATTAAACTTCTTTTGTACAATGTAACAACTGTAATATTTTTCTAATGTATAATTAAATATATAGTGTGTTTAATGAACATTCGCATTTTTTCTTGTGAAACCTTTTGTATTCTATATTTTAGAAATGTTACGTAACTAGAACTTTAAAGAACAATAATTTGAAACATGAACATTCATTCTAAGAATTAGTCCTTCGAGCCGGATAGTGGTGCTAACTAGCAGTGATTGTAACTTTGCGACAGTGAATTACTAATTTAACTAATTTGAGCAGTGAAATGTGCAACTAATTCGGACAGTGAACTGTGATTGTGAATGTGAGTTCAGTGTACTCAATTCAAAGAAAATTAAGAAATTGAAATTTTTTGTGAGTCACAAGTGAATTAAGGACTGGACATTAATAATAAACTCAAAGGTCACGCTTCTCACGACAATGATCAGAGGCAACACTTCGGACAAATAAATATACTTCTGGTATTTGGTGAGTCTCCACAAAATTATATCCTATTCCTCTGAATTCATACATCCACTTGCGTTACAATGACGGAATACGCGGAATTTGTAAGAAAACGAACAGTATTAAAAGCGTCACTTACACGTAATATCAATGCGTTTGCCGCTCACGACCCGAATTCTGGTCTCGGTTCATGGCGTACTCGATTGTCAACCATCGAAGAATTATATAAAAAATACGATGATTTGCAAAGTACCATTGAAGTACTAGTTTTAGACTCTGTAGAATTACGTGAGAAACAAATTCAAGAACGCGTAGATTTTGAAAACCCATACTTTGATTTACTAACAAAAATTAACGATTTTATAGCACAACAAACCGTACCTGTTTCTACGTCAAATCAGAGTGCTCAGTCTGGTATTTCATCTGGTATGATTTCTCTTGCAACTTCTCCTCTTACTGTACAAAATGTTGCCTCTATTGAATCAAGTAATATCAAACTTCCTACGATCACGTTACCACAATTTGACGGTACAATTAAAGATTGGTTAATTTTTCGCGACACATTTCAATCACTTATACATGAAAATGCGAGGCTTTCTAAAATTAAAAAATTTCATTATTTAAATTCTGCATTGACAGGAGATGCAGCGCGAGTAATTCAATCTCTCGGTGTTTCGGAATCAAATTATGAATTGGCTTGGAGTGGCTTAGTAGAAAGATTTGAAGATTCATCTTCACTAACCCATTACCATATCAAAGCGTTATTTGAATCACCGTGTATTACAAAACTCTCATGTGTAACTTTAAGACAATTAATAGACGATACGAACAATCATCTCCTGTCACTGAAGTCGTTAGGGGAAAAAATTGAAAATTGGGATACGATGATTATATATTTGTTAACTACCAAATTAGATCAGTATAGTAATCGTGAATGGGAAAAACATGTACTGACACTATCTGACAAACCGACATTTAAAAATATGACAAGTTTTCTCGAAAATCATTGTAAATATTTACAAAAAACAGCGAATAAAAAAAGGGAGAACTCGAATAATAATAACAATAAAAAATATGCAACTTCAAAGGGTACTCATGCGAAAAACGCGGAGCGATTAGCGTCACATACTACCACTAAAAAATCGTGTCCGTTGTGTAGTGAAAATCATGCGTTGTATAATTGTGAAAATTTGTTAAAGCTATCGGTAGAGGAAAGAATTCGAGAAGTGATGCGCCTTCGTGTATGCTTCAACTGTTTATCTCTTGGCCATCGAAACAAACAATGCACCTTCGGTCCCTGCAAAAAATGTCCAGCGAAGCACAACACATTACTCCATCGTGATCGAACTCCATCTGAGGTCTCAATGGAAACGGAACCTATTATAGAATCGGACGCGAAACCAAAGCCTCTTTTATTAACAAAATCGACATCAAAGGAACACATATTATTTGGAACCGCGATTGTTTGGATTAAGGACAAGCAAGGAAAACGTCACGAATGTCGAGCATTATTAGATTCATGCTCGCAAGTACATTTAATAACGCGTAATCTGTGTCAACGTTTAAAATTGCCTTTATCAGACTCAGATGTTGTCATATCAGGAGTAGGCAGGACCACATATGAGCCTCAGCATAGCGTAGCAGTTGACATTCAATCTACTTGTACAGGCTTTTCACAAAAAATTGAATGTTTAATCACACCCGAAATTACTGATGACATGCCCAATATCCCGCTACGTCGAAATGATATTGAAATTCCGGCAGGGATTACTCTGGCTGATCCTGCATTTTTTGAGACAAGGTCTGTCGATCTTCTAATCAGCGCAGAACTTTTCTGGAAACTACTGTGTGTTGGTCAAATCAAATTGCGTGACGATCAACCTATTATCCAAAAAACACAGCTAGGGTGGATTATAGCTGGGCCAATGAAACTTTACCCTTTGAATACTAAACCAAAATTATCTTGTAATTTAATTACCAATCAACAATTACATGATGATTTATTACGATTTTGGGAAATTGAAAATTTTTCATATAAACATCCTTATCCAGACTTGGATGTTTTGGACATTTCGGAGAAGCATTTTCAAAATACATTTCAGCGTGAATCAGACGGACGGGGTATAGTCTCTATGGCTTTAAATGAAAATGTAAATAACCTTGGAGAATCTTTGTACTTAGCTGAAAAAAGGTTATTCGCAATGGAACGGAAATTCACCAAACAACCAGAGCTTCGGAAAAAATACATTGAATTTATGAAAGATTATGAGGATCAAGAACATATGGTGCCAATTATTGACGAGGAATTAAAAACAACAACATGTTATTTACCACATCATGCTGTTTTTAAGGAAAGCAGTACCACGACGAAACTCAGGGTTGTGTTCGATGGGTCGGCAAAAACGTCATCAGGGTTATCTTTCAACGATGTTCAACATACTGGACCTGTTGTGCAGTGTCATCTATTTTCTATTGTCTTGCGATTTCGACAACACAAAATAGTGCTTACAGCTGACGTGACACAAATGTATCGACAAATAAAAATTGTTCGAGAACAACAGGATTTACAACGTATTCTTTGGAAAATAGATCCAACACAACCAATTAAACATTACAGACTTACAACAGTGACATATGGTACAAGATCTGCACCATTCTTGGCAACTAGAACCTTACGACAAATTGGCGAAGAAAACAAGGACAAATTTCCAACTACAAGTGAGGTTATTATCAGGGATTTTTATGTTGACGACGGGTTGACAGGTGGGGATACAGTGAAGGAAGTTCAAAATCTCAAGGATGAATTAACTCAACTTCTTTTGAATTCTGGCCTGGTACTGCGAAAATGGTCATCAAATAATGATCAAGTTGTTAAGAAAGATGATGCAGTCAATACGGATAAAATAATTCAAAATACGGAAGAACCAAAAACACTAGGACTCGTGTGGAACTCTGATCATGACATACTGAAGTATGCGGTACAAGAAACAACTGAATTGAAATTTACAAAACGGAAAATCTTATCAAGGATCGCTCAGATTTTTGATATATTGGGTTTGTTGGGACCTGCTATCATCAAGGCTAAGGTATTATTACAAACAATTTGGCAACTTCAAATTGGTTGGGACGAATCGCTCCCGCAGGATGTACATACTACTTGAAAGGAATACAATAGACAATTAACAGCACTTAACAACATCTCGATTGAAAGAAGAATTATTTCTGACAATGCACGTCACATTCAACTTCACGGATTTAGTGATGCTTCTGAAACTGCATATGGAGCGTGCATATATTTACGATCAACTGACATTTTCAACAATCATCATGTCCAGTTATTATGTGCTAAATCACGTGTAGCACCAATAAAAAAAATATCATTACCCAGGCTTGAACTGCAAGCTGCCTTGTTACTCGCGCAACTGTCAGACTCAGTGTGTAGATCAATCACAATAAAATTGGACAACAAGTTCTTTTGGTCTGATTCAACAATTGTCTTACATTGGATAAAATAGCCGCCCAATCGCTGGAAAACTTATGTGGCAAATCGCACTAGTGAAATTCAAACATTGACAAATGGAAATTGGAATCATGTTTCATCATCGGACAATTCAGCAGATCTAATCTCCAGAGGGGTAAATCCAGAAGAATTACAAGAACAAAAACTTTGGTGGAATGGTCCCACGTGGCTGTCACACGATGAACAATGCTGGCCGAATCAACAGTTTGAAAATGTACAAGAGATGCCAGAGGAACGTAAGCGCGGGTGCACACTTCTCGTTAACACAGAAGTGAACTTTCCTCTATTCGAACGTTTTTCGAAATTAACTCGTTTAATTCGTGTCCTCGCTTATTGTATACGCTTTTATTATAATGTAAAAAATGTCATTAGGAAAACAGGAAACCTCACTGTTGACGAAACAGATAATGCACGAATAAAATTGTTGAAACTAGCTCAACTTAAAGATTTTGCGTCAGAAATACATTGTCTCACGAATGATAAACTTATTTCATGTAAAAGTAAGCTATTACAATTGAATCCTTTCTTGGATACTGAAGGATTGCTCAGGGTGGGGGGTAGACTAAAAAACGCTCCAGTACCGTTTAATCAAAAACATCCGATTATTTTGTCATCGAATAACCCATTAACAATTTTATTAATAAAAAATGAACATGAGCGTCTATTACATGCCGGATGCCAATTGGTAATGGCATCACTAAGAACTCAGTATTGGCCAATCGCATGTAAAAATGCCGTTAAAGGGGTCTTACGAAAATGTATAAAATGTTTTAAAATAAAACCAACAAAAATTGAAAATATAATGGCAAATTTGCCAACAGCACGCGTAACTCCAGAACGGCCTTTTTACACGTCTGGTGTTGATTACGCGGGGCCTTTTTATCTTGTAGAAAAGTCTCGAAGTCGCTCTCAAACCAAAGCTTATATATGTATCTTTGTATGTTTTGTAACGAAAGCGGTACATATCGAATTGGCACAAAATCTTTCAACAGATGCCTTTTTTAATTGTTTACGACGATTTGTATCGAGACGAGGACTGTGTAAATATCTTTATTCTGATAATGGAACAAACTTTGTCGGAGCAAAAAATGAGCTCAAAGAATTAAAATCCTTATTGTCTAATAGCAAATTTCAGGAAAATGTTCTCAGTTTTTTATCCACTCAGCAAATTGATTGGAAAATGATTCCCCCCGCAACACCACATTTTGGTGGACTTTGGGAAAGCGCGGTAAAATCGGCGAAATATCACTTACATCGCGTGGTAGGTGAAACCCGACTTACTTATGAAGAATTGTATACTGTTTTAACACAAGTGGAAGCGTGTCTGAATTCGCGTCCTTTGTCTCCCCTCTCACCAGACTTACAGAATATTCAACAAAATCGACTAAATCGATATCAGCATATGCAATATATGACTCAACATTTCTGGCAACGTTGGCAGAAAGAATATTTAAGTCAACTACAACAGCGTTACAAATTGTCACAACACAAAGAGAACCTTATTGCTCCGGGTACATTGGTAATTTTGAAAGAAGATAATTTACCACCAACAAGGTGGCGATTAGGTCGAATCACAGAACTTCATCCAGGTAGTGATAATGTAACACGCGTAGTCTCTATCCGATTAGCAAACACTATTGTAAAACGCCCGGTTTCTAAGGTGTGTATTCTCCCGATTGAGGAATATACAGACAATAACAAGCAAACACAATAGTCACCTAAGCAATATTATTTCTATTTGTAGTTTTATGATTGAAAGAAGATCCTTTCAAGGTGGGCGAAATGTTAGAATATGAGAATGGTTATGCTGTTTTCTCATCGTATATTTTTGCAACTGAAAGATATGTTTTGTATTTTGTCATGTTCTTACCAACCTTAAGGTTTTGTCTAAATATATGTTGAAATTAAGATCTATCAGTAAAGAAATACACAAAAAAGGTAATAAAATAATATAGTAATAACGGACACATCTGCCGGCCAGACTAGGCAATAGTACCTTTGATACCTGAGTTTATGACTCTCTGTACCTAGCCCTTGCTCACGATCGTACGGGGCTAATTTTCAAAAAAGGAAAACATTATTTAAAATATTATTTAGGCAGTGTTGCCATTTTGTCTGAATTGTAAAATGTACAAATTACCAGATGATTGCGACGTTGTCAAATCGTGTCCTTCTCGTTAGGACTGAATTCGAAAATACCTTGGTGGAAGGGCAGTTGGCTCACAACCACGAGAGATACGTCTTCGGTCTCATAAATTAAACTTCTTTTGTACAATGTAACAACTGTAATATTTTTCTAATGTATAATTAAATATATAGTGTGTTTAATGAACATTCGCATTTTTTCTTGTGAAACCTTTTGTATTCTATATTTTAGAAATGTTACGTAACTAGAACTTTAAAGAACAATAATTTGAAACATGAACATTCATTCTAACAATTTTTGTATTTGATTTATTGTATTGGATGTTTAATTTCAGGGTTTTTTATTTTTAGTTCTTTTTCATTTGTATATAATTTAAGGTGGTGGTTTTTTATTTTCTGTGTCTTTTAATTCCAGAATTTTCTTAGGTTTTATGTTTTTTTCAATTTTTTTACTTTATTTTCTTTTTCAGATTGTTTTCAGGTTTAGTATTTTAGATGCCAAAGTGTAAGCTACAGAAGAAATCTCGACAACGTCTCGAGAATGCTGAATTTAATGAAGTCTGTCAGGAGTCTGACAACTTCATTAAAATCGCTAAAAGTGAACTCATCGCCACAATGTCAATGACAGGTGATGAAAAGTTCGTTAACGCATTTGAATGGCAAAACAAGTGTCAGCGTTACAAAAATATATTTAGTAAATTTTTGCGAAGATCTGATTTTGAATCTTATAAAAAATCAACATGCTTAAATTTAAGTCAGAAACTTGAATACTTGCGTTGCCATTTCGATGCATTAATGAAACGTGGCGCGTGCTTGCAATTGAGTAATAATAGAATGAAATTTGATAAGGATGTTAATATTCAATCCTTTAAGGACGGAATTTAAAGTTTAATTCCCGGGCATCTCATTTAATATTCCTATACGTAAACTTAAATAATAAAATAATATTAAATTAGGTTAAGGGTAGCTTCAATGTACCGGAACGAGGTACACGTCTCTGGTATGCGCTTGTGGCAGGAATTCTTCAACCGTCATTTTTCCAACATGGAGACCTGTACGCCGCCGATGCTACGTCTCGACTGATGCTCGCTCCCGTTTTTCTCGCTGCGCCGCATGGGCGGAGCCTAGAGAAGACATGCAACCACCGCATTGGTGCGGTTTCTCACGACTGCTCTCCGTCAATGAGGTAGTAGTGCGTGGGGGAAGCCCGTTCGCACCGAGCATCCCAGTAGCATAAAAGCCGCGCTTCTCACGGTCTCGCTCTCACTCTCTGCCTATCTTCCGAGAAGACACTACGATCGCTGCCTACCAAGAGCCAAGCCACTTAGGGCCCACAACTTTACTCCCACGGACTCGACGCCTGCCAAGCGCATCCAGCTGCCGTGTGCCGACTTCTCCAGGGACTTTCGAGAAATAAAGAAACAACTTAATAAGAGAACTTGGACTCGTTTCTTTCTCGAACTTCAGAACGGGATCTTCCAACTCGGGCTTGTCTTTTGGACAACCTTAAAACTATCCGTCCTTTTCAGGACGTAACTTTGTTCTTAAATATATATTACTCGTGAGAAACTTGTCCTTTCAGGACTATTCTCCGACGAGTCATGTTAGAAGAAATTTTTGGTTCTAAGCATAATATAAATAATCCATCTATCAAACAACCTCCTTCAGGGGGAAACAAGCTTGTATTAATGTTCAAAATACAGACAATCAATGTTTTAAATGGTCAATTTTGTTAGCTTTACACCAAGTTGAAAACCATGCAGATCGAGTTTCTAAACATAGGCTTTATGAGAATGAACTTAATTTCAGTGGGATTAAGTTCCCTGTTTCACTCAAGGATATTTTAAAATTTGAGGCTCAGAATAACAATTCAGTTAATGTATATAGACTTGTCAAAAAGGCTGAAAAGGTTACAGTGGCTCCGTTAAATCTTTCATCACAAAAAAGGTTGTTCATGTAAATCTTCTTCGAATTGAGGACCACTACATTGATGATTATTATTTACGGAGGAGAATGAGGAGATCGATCAAGTAACCATCATCTCTTTTAACTACCATTATGTTTGGATCAAAGATTTATCAAAGCTTGTCAGCAGTAAATTGTCCAAGAAAAAAAACAAAAAGTATATTAGCGATCGTTGCCTGCATTACTATGGAGATGAAAATAAACTTGATAGACATGAAGAAAATTGTAAAATGATCAATAAAACGAGTAATGTGCTGCCGAATCCAGAGAAAAATTTTGTTGAATTTAAAAATTACCAAAACAAGACGCGTGTACCATTTATAATATATGCGGATTGTAAAAGTCTCTTGATACATCAGGAAAGGCGTTTAAAGTCGAACGTTCTGATTGGCTGAGACGAGCCAGCGAATATCAGCCTCACTACCTTACTACTACATCGTTCCTACGTCTCACGGATACAACAAGTATACTAGTAGTAGTGGTGGTGGGGATGGTTTTCGTAGTCCGTGCTGGAACGCGATTGACATGGTCATGTTTAAAGCTTTATTACAAAAAAAGTATTTAGAAAAATATTATTTTTGACATTTCTATATGAAAGAGCAACTCAAATACTATCGATTCGCATATAAAACTGGAAATTAATTTTTTGTCGCGTTAGGTCCCTTTTCTCGTGGAGCGTCACAATTTGTCAGAAATGGAGAAGAGGTTGTTTTAATAAAAGAAGATGTTGTACATTTTATATTATGTTTATTTTATTTGTTAGAGCCTTAATCTACTTACATTTCTTTGACTTTATTTAACCTTACTTTTAACTTTACATTCATTTTTTTAACTTTTATAAACTATATTTTAACTATTTTTAACTTTTTTAAAACTATTTTTAACTTTATTTTAAATATTTTTAACTTTATTTAAACTATATTTAACTTTTTTAAAATTCATTTAAACTATTTTTTAACTTTACTTTAACTTATTTTAAATATATTACATATCAGATTTTTTTATTTAACTATTGTGTGAGTTGTCAAATCAAAGCCATTTTACATATACATTGTTGCCACGGCTTTTGAGAACTTTCTCAACGACGGAAACATCTGGTATTTAACTTTTAATAGTTCTTCTTCGTAGAAACCACCTTCGATTGGCTGATTTTCATAATCTGCAAGTTTGTATGTAACTGGTTTTATTCGTTTAACTTGATGTACAGTGAATATTTCCGTTGTCCAGTTGGGGTGTATCCTTTTTCAAAGATGTTTTTATGTTTGCTGACTCGAACTCTATCTCCAACTTTAAATTTTTGTCTTCTCAGTGGAATTTTTCTTAGTTTACAAATACGTCTCATCAGTTCTCTTGTATCTTCTACGGTGACATCTTTAGGTTTCATACGAATCGTACAATGTTTGTTATTATTGTACTTTGATATGAGAATTGGTAAAAGATTAATCCATTTGTAATTGCCTCGTAAATTGAATTCAGGCTTATCATATTTTGTATAGTTCGGTTAAACCTTTCAACAATTGATGCTTTTAAATTATTATAAGTCGAATAGAGATTAATATTGAATTCTTGCATTAAACTCTTAAATTCAGAGTTATAAAATTCCTTGCCTCTATCAGTGTGCAAATTTTTTGGAATACGACCTTCTTTTAATATTAATTTCATGGCTAAAGAAATATCTTTTCCATTTTTACTTTTTACATGTACAGCCCAGGCATATTTGGAAAATATGTCTATTACTGTGAGCATGTATTTGAAACCTTTATTGAAATAGGAGTAAGGTATCATTTCTACCAAATCTGCTTGCCAGGTTTCATCTATGCCACGCATTTGAACTTTAGGACGAAGATAATTCCTTCTCGCTTGTTTATGCAGTACAGTTACAACTGTTAACTTTTTATCATTCATCATTTGGAATAAATGTAGTTTCCTTGATAATAATATTCTGTTGGGATTCAATTTGTTTTAGTTTTTCGTTAACTCTATCTTCAACAACTTGTATTAAAATATTCAAATTATCAATGGCTGATCTTAATGAAGATGCAATTTGAAAGATAGTTTTTATCTCGTTTCGGATAATTTGTTGTACATGTTGTAAATTTACTGCATCATGCAGCTCGTCAGTGTCTTGAACGTTACAAAGTCTTTTGCCTTCAATATTGTAATCTCCACTTGGAGTAACTTTAAATCCAATAGCAGAAGGTCCAGGTAGTCCACGACTTGCAACAGGTCATGTTAAAGAATGTCCGAACACATTAATGCTCATTGTAATACTAAGCAATTTTTCCATATGCTCTCTCTTAATATATAATTCAACCTTCACGAAGTTCTTCGATAATTGACATAATCTCATTATTGGCGATTCAAACAGCTACACTAGCGCCACAGTTGAACTAATTTAGGCGTGACTCGCTCTGTAGCACTCCATGTGTTTTAAATTATTTTTTTTTATTTAACGCTTAAAAATAATTTTACAAACGCAATAAAAATATCAGAATAATTAAATAATTTGAAATAAACTGTCAAAACAGAGACTGCTTTAGAGCGAGTCACGCCTAAATTAGTTCAACTGTGGCGCTAGTGTAGCTGTTTGAATCGCCAATTATG